TTGTCAGGCTAATACTATGGGTGCGTGGATGGGTTGTATGAGACCCGTTAACATTGTTGCTGATACTTTTTTTATGTATAGCAGTCCTTCAATCTACTACTGTTTCTTCCCGGTCACCTTCTGAAATGATTACACAACTAAACAAAGTTTTAGCTGCGAATTACATTATTTTCACATAAAACATATAGAATGCATCATAACACAACTTGTTAGCATAGCAACGAGAAACGCGCGGATGAACACAACGAATAATAACTTTGCTACTTACCACATGTAATTCCCTCGTCAGAGTGATCCTCACAGTCGGAGGCTCCATCACAGACCCAGCTATTGGGAATGCACTTCCCGTCAGTACAAGTAAACTGGTCACTCTCGCACCCTGGATCGAAGTAATAATATAATATCGTTAGAGATAAATTTCTAAATTTAATTTTTTTTTTAAATTTTCCCTTCTTGGATTTTAAATAGTCTATTCATAAGCATGTATCTTTGTGGGCAGGATCAAACATTTATTGTCATCGCGTTAAAGTTAAAGAGCGGTCGTTGTCGCGCCACGCATGCGCGAGATTTGGGTCTCATATGAACAAAGATGGCGATTTTGACTGTTCCGCAGACCAACGAGCACACACTCGTTACAAAGCTTTAATTAGGTAATTTCTTTGGTGATGTGAATGTATGAAGGAGTCATCCACGGTAGTTAGTGCACGTCGCGCCCAGGTCAAAACTCGTACCTGTGATTCCCATTAGAAGAGGGCATTGGATTGTGGGAGAATCAATGTTTCGACACAAATGTCGCGCATGCGCGGCGCGACGAACACCACTCCTTAATACATTGGTCATATATCGCTGACGTCATGTTTGAGCTTGTGATGTAACTTCCGCCGCGTAAATATCAAACGACCAATGGTAGATAGTGTCAACATATCATTCATATAAGGTTGTCTTACTTTTATTACTGCAAAAGGCGTGAACAATTTAGACAGGGTTATGTTGTTTGTTTTTATTAATAGCCGAATCCACAGGCAGACGGAGCACATTTACAATACGATATAGACTAAACTATAAAGTACATTTCATTAATGTGTGAATTTGTATATATGCATATTAACAAATGTTTTATAATTTAAATGAGGATTAATAACCACTAGACCAAAGGAATAAATCAAATCCGTGTAATAACGGTTCGATTTTAATATGCGAAAAAACATAATAAATTACTCGCTGTTTTTTCTGACAAATGTGGTCGATATGTGTGCAGTCTGTAAAGGCCAATCCTTAATATTGTATCGGCATTTTTATTGCGTTTTTAGCAACACTAAATTAGTGTTAATTAATTATTATAAGTTAGCATTTCCAAAATATCTTTGTTAATGAGTGTCTGGTTTCAGTGTGTAATGTTTGAAACTATAGCTATATATTTGTTAGAGAAAAATCACAGATTTCAATAAAGTTGTTAAAAATATTGTGTTATATTTTTAATGCAAAGTGCTGCCTTGCATTAAGCTAGTTTATAAATACATCGCAACATAGTTGAGCTTGTATTGTTCTAACAGAATCGAAACACATTATTTAAAAAAAAATGTACGTTTGCTAATGCATACCCATGGTTGACATGGCGCGTTGTCCGAATATTCTCCCAATTGGAAAAGTTATATTAAATAGAACTATACATGACCTCGCCCACTACACGCCAGACTGCGACAGTACATGAGTCTTACCTCAATATATGCACGAGTGTGTTGTATACTGTGAGTTGTATAGTGCTATGGATAAAAACCTCGTCTTCCAGGTTTATTAAAATATTTCATTACTTAAATATATAATTACCATTTATTATACATGTAATACAATATATATATAATTACTCTTTTATTATTATTGTATAGCTAATTAAATTGTTTTCCGCTGAATATAATAACGTCCAAATTATATTTGCATTTGTGTTACGAGTTATCTTTCAGACACGGAAGCTTATTGAAGCCAACTAGTTTTCAACTCCAAACAATATTGAAATCTTCATCATCTCGGCAATAACTCGGTTAATTAATATTAAAAACAATTACAATAAATTACTTATCGAACATTCATAGTGTATGTTGATTGCGACAACATTGTGGTTTTCCACACCCAGACAAATACACATTCTCCGAAATAAATAACTTGACGTTGAGACTGCGACAGATGAAGACAATTTTACTTATTTAAATTGTCAGTGTTTGCGCATGACTGAAACGTTCGTTTGTCGTTTCAGATAGGTGAACCGTATGCATACCGCGTGTGATTATCGTACAGAAGTTTTAATATAAAATTGTGAAAAAGATAATGAGTCATTGTATATTTTATTCCAACATATTACCTATCACAACATTGTATCACGATTCATTGTCAGAATTACACGGTGTTGGTAACATGGTTAGTAAGGTTATCGCGTTCAATGCCTAGCAAAGGTGAATGACCTCTGGGTTCTACTTATTCGCTGCTGATTCTATGGAAGTTAAATTTTCAGATCCCAAAGCAAAACATCTTCCAAACACGATTCGATTTCAGAAGGTGGCCTTTTTGCAGAAATATGACAAACAAGACCGTGTTTAAGATCGTGATAGAAGTTCTTAACTTGGCGGCCACGTCTTATAATACACAGTAAACAACACGGATTTAGTAAAAGACAAGGAAACTTTAGGCACGATCTGTGTTCCAGGGCCAATCTATTATTTCTGCCGGTTAAAAACAACCGTTAAAATAACACGTATCAAGGTGAAGTTTTTACACGGACCACTTTTTATGCGTTGGCAGAACACACACTGAGCCATTGTCAGTATAGAAACTACATAGCCGCTTATCTAGTTGCAAACAACGGGTCAAAGTACGACTTTTTGTTGACGTCGAAGCCAGTGTGACGATCATGTACAATAAACGTATCACCCAAAACACGATAGACATAATATATTACGCGATATGTTAGTTCAATGATCAACAATTACAATTCACAGGGGAAACAATTAAGCGGGCGTTTTTTTAGGAGGGGTTGGTAAGATGAGAAGAAGGATATCGGCGTGTATACGTTATCTTGTTACCCATACAGCAATTCAGGGCAAACTGATATACATATACACACTTACCATGTATGGCTGATGCGAAGACAAGAACTAGAAGCGAGATACAGAATAAATGTATCGCCGACATACTCGCGCAATGGCAGGATACTAGTATGCTGCAGGTGAATAGTGCGAGCTTGAGTTTATTGATTCTCGACCTCTCTTAGCATTGATCAGATTAGCAGATAACGTCGGAACGAAGCAGCTATGTCATTGGTCGAGGTAAGAAACCGTAGCGTACTGGTAGGCCGGAAGTTATTTTTCGAACCAATCGGAAACAGGTGAGTCGCGTTTGGTTGGCGTGAACTGGCCACATGGCACAGTAAGTCGTGTACAGCGCCACCACTACTGCATGACAGCTCAAGGAAAACGCACAGTGACATATGTACCAAAGAAGTAAGAGAAACTTTCTTTTGAACTATTTATCTCCTATTTATGTATGCACGTTAAAACAGATCAATGTATCGGTCGCGGTTAATAAAATTGCTAAATTACAAAATGTTATTTAAAAACGCTCTTTTTGTATTTTTCTTAATACGCAAATAAAGTCTAAATTAGGTGTTCACAAAGCGCAAAATGATTCGCTAAACTACAAACAATATCACAAACTGACCGTCACAATGAAGGTAGACAATGAAAAGGAAAATAAATGTTTTTTTTTTTTGAAAAAACTACTTTCAATATTGACACGGTATTATTTTGTTATACCACGAATATGTCATTATTATCGTATGGCCTGGTTGCTGTAAGAAAACATCCATAATCGGTGAACTGTACTATCAGTTAATTTGTGAATTCATAGACCCTACAATGTATATCGTAGGACGAATGGTGGATTTAAATGCTCGCAACTCTTGCGTGGACGAGCCAACTCATGCATGGTAATTGATCGGATAGACGTACTAATTGGATACATTATCTGACCCAAACGGACTGAATACCTAACTAGTAACAATAGATCGTTTTAATTGTACTATTGTTATCTGTGTAACATAAGTAGTACTGACGCGGCAAGGTTACGTCCAGAGAAAACGTCACCCAGACTGTGTCACACAGCAAATACTTTATAGTATAAAGAACTGCAAACGTCACAAGGGCAACAGACATACACAGTCCCTTCGTTGCCACGTTACTGATTGCACGCCCCGGGGGAGGGCGATTTTATTGGTTCATGGGAACATTTGCCTTGGTTTAACGCAAGTCGAACACATTTCCTTGGCTGTCCAAAACTTAAGTACGTTTTTCCGTATGTTAAGACGTTAAGATCATTGCAACGTGTTTACTTACAATGATCAACTTATCAATTTGCTTGCTAGTATAGAAAAATATTCTGCTTAAAGGGCGACAGTCGCCGTGCCGCGTCCTAATATATATGGGACTCATATCGACGTATACAACGCGTGTATACTTTGTTTATTTACATGAAATTCGAACACGCGAAGCGCGACGACCACCGCGCTTTAACCTGCATATTCATGCTGACGGAAACCAACGTCAATGACCCCCCCCCCCCACACACACACACACCCATGGGCGAGTTTTGTTGCCAAGCAATAGACGAACTCGACTTGCGTAATTCGTTTTATGTGAAGAAGTCTCCGTAACTCCGTCGTTTTAAGTTCGATGATTCTTTGACTGGTGTAGTGCATCTCAGTAAGTATTTCAAAACAGAAACACCGTCATATTTAATAATTACTGTGGAATAAACAGTTTGTTCATGAGTTCTATCAGAGTAATTAACAAGATCGCTATAATTGGGCTGATTGGGGGTGTTAAACTTAATATATCACTTTAAAGCACTAGGTTTTTGGTAACATTCCATGGTCACGGCTGCAATGCCATTTTATGATGTAATCAACTTGTTTTCGTTCATAACATTGCTCCTTTCAATAGGGAACTAGAATTGTAATTGCATATTACAGAGTATGACATGGTAGGAGTGTGTACAGATCGTTTGCTGAGCATGCAGTCGCTGGGCTGGCGTGGCTTGTTAGCATGAGTATATATATGGTAGCGTCGCCTATGTGTCGGCTTCGGTGATGACGCATTGGTTGTGGAATACGGAAAAATGAACTGAAGCATGCGCACTGCGTACACAATATGCTAATGACTTAACAAGATTATGACGTAGACATAACTCATGAATATTGTTTGAAAGTGCAATTATTAATAAAAAGCATTTATTACGAAACGCCGGAATCACGTATATTCGGCCCCACTCTCTCTATTGTGGTAATTTGAAGACTGTACACGTTTTCTATCATATAAACCTGGCGACTAGCTTCGGGGATACTGTGCTGGATAGTACTTTTTCCCTCTGTACTAATAGTTGCCGCTAGCGGGCACACGACATATGAATGACAGACAGACACCAACAGAAAAAGTTTGCGTCATGAAAATCTAGCATTGTATTATTCGAAATAATCCCGAAAAAACTACAGATACATATATTTCAATAAGAAGCCATACTTGCCAACATAGGTTCGCTAGCTTGTGGATTTATGAAAAAAAATCAGACATTGCCGCCAGGACTAACCGCCTGTATTTGACAACGATTATCAGGCAACGAAGACAACGCCGTATTTTTTATTTCACGTTTTACAATATCAAACTAAAATACGGAGGAAACAAACTGATATATGAACTGACTACTAGTATTTAAATGCTTGTTTGCGCTATTAATTAACTAATTAATATCGGCAGATATTTATTTGTGAAACGTGTTTTACATTGACATACACACAAATCAGTTGGACAAAATTTAATCTATCATACTGGTATCTGCGAGTACCTCAGTAAGATTGTTCCATGTTTGGAAAACGAGCATCCTGAAGACTGCTTATAAATCGTTCTCCTTCCTGATGTTGCTTTATACAGCTGTTTATACACACAAACAACTGTGTAATTTTCTCGATTTTCTATCAGTGTTCCCGCGATCAACGGTTGTTTTTGGCTGGTCCCCGCCGGGTCACGTGATCTAACGCACAGTTCAGCGAATGGTTGTTTGCGTATGGCGCCCTCAACTGTATTCGTTGCCATATGCATAAGATAAGCGTCCCCGTAGGAGGGCGCTATAATTATACCATTTTTACCTTGCCCGTACCATCAAAGATGAAAGGGAAAGGTATATTAAGGGAACAATTTTGTCCGGCGTTGTCGTTGTTGTTGTTGTCGTCGTCGTCGTCGTTGTCGTCGTTAATAATTGTTATTGTGTGCATAATAACTTTACTAATTCTATTCCAATCTTCATCAAACTTGGTCACCTTATTCATCAGTATAATGTCTTCCCTGAGTTTGAACAACAGATGTCCTGTATGAAAATATCATGCAAAAATTGAGAAAATCTGATAAAATATTTTGACTGTTTCTACTTGACTGATCACTGGTGATACACATCAAAGGTCACTTATCTCAGTGGAAATATGCATTGTTGCATGTGTTCAATGAAGCAAATGATTTATCTTGTAATAATATCCTTGGTAATGTATCTCAGAATCCCATACTGGGTTTCAAAACCAACTCATGGAGAGAGAAAACAAGATGTCAGAAAATCAATATAAGCACTCCTATGAACTGGGTGCCAAACTTTGATCAAGATCTGAAGGTAATAGAAAATCTGTTTAGTTCAAAGTTATCAAATCAAAGACAATACATAAAAAATACATAAAAAGCAAAACATTTCATCCGCATTTTAAAAAGAAAATTGTTCTTAAAATATATGTATTCTGTATTTGACAAACAGTTCATTCGGACAAATGAAAACTCACAGGAATATGTTTCAGCTATTAGAACAGAATGATATAGTTTTTATAATACTGGTTTAAAAACGCACTTCACAGATTGCAGTGTTTGAAGATGTAGATTTCAGGAGGCACAGTACTGTTGACTTCTCCCTCCACTGGACACCAACTAACTATTTAAGTTGATTTGCATACAAAGCAGAGCTTGCAACATGATAGCTATTCATAAAGAGTGTTTTTTTTTTACTTTTCATATAGTACAGTAGTCACACAGTGAGGCAGTTCATATTTGTCTCGGTGAATCATTAATTTTTGACAGACACCTGTACAAAATACTTGGACAAAAGCCAGCTAAGATTTGTTGTTATCTTGCTTGTTTTATGAATCTTTTCACGTCTAAATGCAGCACTTTGTTTTTTGCGATGAGGCATTTGTTTTTATACTAAAATATCTGAATTACTTTGAATAAAGCTGGAAATTATGTCCCTTAAAATAATTAAACAAATAAGGCACCAATGTTTTTGTAAGATATTTACATCTTTTAAGGATATTTGGTAGACTGATTCCCCACTGTTGGTTTAACCCCAAAACTTGTTTGTATTCAAAATTAATTATGACAATGCATATTTATATTGAAACAAACTATGATAAAGGGAATTATATTATATAACAAAGGGCAAGGTCACCAGAGTTCAACTATGTTATAATACAGTGGTGTATACACTGTAATTACCATGCATGTAAAAATAAATCCAATATGTGATATGCAATATGTACATAAATATAAATATTTGATTTATAAACACGCTTATGTTTCTGCATGGCGACATTTCGTTAATATTTGTACACATATTTATACAGAATAAATTCCAATCCTCCACTGACGTAACAAGTGATCTTCCAAATTCCAAGGTTAACAAATGTAAAGGACAGAGTAGGTCCTAATTGACCATTCTTACAGTATACTGTAACGAATTGTATTGTTGTGAGAGAATTCTTAATAATTTAACGTCCCATAATTTTATATTAATATTTATTACATTGCGTTGTCGGAATAGTTTGATAAATAGTTTTGTTTGTTTAATATTTGATTTATTTTACGTATGTGTTTGTCGCGTAGCTTTGTATATAATGAATGTTCATATGATTTATTTGAACGTGTCCCTTGCGTCAGTGTATTAGCTGATCTATATAATAATTTCTAATTAGTACACTAATTGGTACAATGTTGGTTGGCTATGCATGGTTTATCTTCCTCATGGCAATATATTAATTTGGCTGAGGTGCTTAGTACAGTTGTCTCACTTGAGAAAAATTGGGCACGGCAGCCAGTTGATATTATCATTGCGCTATCAGCTGTTCACT